ATTTTGATTTTTTACCCTTACTGCGTATATGGTAGAATTAAATTTTTGGCTTGGGTGACATTTTTCAATAACTTAAACAAATCAATACTCTTTTCATTACATTTGAACAAAAATTTTATCGAAACATAGGGTTACAAGCAAATTAGAATCCTAATATAAATATACCTACCTTGTTCCTTCTATAATACTCAATATTTGAGAGAGGTTCATATAATAAAACATTTAAACCAGTGAATCTTCTTAAGAATTATTTTTATATTTCAACTCATTTTCCTAGTTTATAATGTCTAATGTCTGGTGTACTCTCGATTGACCGATTAGGCATTCGCTTCCCGACCATGAGATCCATGATTGAATTGTCAGGATGGCGACATTTGACGTTATCACTCCGGGGAGGTGATCCCAGTGTAATTGGGTATACGGAACAGTTCAGCAGTAGGTGGTTACTCTATCACGAAATCAAAACTCAACGTGACTGAAGCTTTCAGCGTACCGGCTGCTGATCATGGCCGAGTATTCGCTCACTCATAGAAACTGTAACTAAACATTGTTACAGTATAAAAAACTGGTGGGATCTGTGAATGTTGATCAAGCACAACAAATATGGCTGAGTATATGTCTGCTACAAGAATACAGAGGCGCTCGAAAAATAAGAGAGGCCATTTATTTTATATATATATATATATATATATATATATATATATATATATATATATATATATATATATGTATATGTATGTATGTATGTATGCATATAAACAAAGACTTGTACCCAGAGAAGAAGAAAATAAATTCAAATGGAATGGACGTCATTATTTTTACCTTCGTTATTTACTGATGTGTCTGATTGATTCCTGCAGATCGCTAAAATTCACCTTTAGAGAAAGTGTTAGCCGAAAGAGTGCCTTCAAGGTAAACTGGTGACTTCCATGATATATATATATATATATATATATATATATATATATATATATATATATATATATATATATGCCTGGTATTTAGTTGAAAGAGCTCAATATCAGAGATAGAGCTAACACAAGTTGTATGGATATGAGATTGTATGTATGTATGCATTATAAATTAACTGATTTAAAAATACGCTTTCATCGCTACACTCACGATATAATGATGAAACCATATTTTTAAATCAATTTATAATATTTATGCTCTGAAATTTTACATTGAGCACTGTTTTGTAAAAAATGAAAATATCAATGAGAACACCGGATTATATATCTTACTCTTCTTCCTTTTTTTTTATATATATATATATATAAATTTATATCCCCAGTATTTAATGAAAGAGTTAACATAATAAGTTGTATGGATATGAGATTGTGATTTTGGTTTTCACGCTTTTGAGATCATCAGATAAACTCTTATTCAAACGTAAACTTTGTCTGATGATCACAAAAGCGTAAAACCCAGGGTCACAAACTCATATTCATACAACTTATTATACACACACACACACACACACACACACACACACACACACATATATATATATATATATATATATATATATATATATATATATATATATATATATACATATGCTCCTGTCTGAATTTTTGGGACGAGGCGTTTTCACTATTTATATTGGGACTATAACAACAACAATGATGAAGACAATAGTCCCAATATAACTAGTGTAAATGATATATATAGTTGTATATATAATTTTGACTTATCGTCAGCTGTCGAAGATTGGTTTGCAAATGGCGAATAGTGGCAGACGTTAGCCAATGTGGAGCCATTTAACGGATCAATATCCAATGCGTGCCTGCCACAGGTGGCATCAGTTATCGAACATAAGTCGAAATGAAACCATTTTCGCGCCATTTTTTTATTTTACTCTTGCTTTACCGCTTGCTAATGGGAAAATGTAAGAGAGTGGTGAGTTTAAATTTTGCTTTTGACGTAAGAGTCGAATTGATCTATCATAAATGCGTCAAAACTAAATTATATGGACCCACGCGCATGCATGCCTGCGTACGTGTGTGTGCGTAAGTGTGTGCGTAAGTGTGTGCGTGAGTCTGTATATATATGTAACTGGACACGTACTGAATTCAAAGAAATTCAGGTACACAGAATTATCGTCGATATTGCAAATTTTATATGTACAAGACTATCCTAATTATTAGTCGGATCCAGTGATTGTGTTCCGCCAATTCCCACAGTTGAGAACAATGGTGCTCGTTTAGAAATAAAAATACAAACCGAAAAGATGTATATAATTTCAATGATATATATATATATATATATATATATATATAGTGATTTTCCTGGCCGAAATTAAAGGGTACCCAATGAGGATCGAACTCACTACTATATATATATATATATATATATATATATATATATATATATATATATATATATATATAGAGGAAAACTTACATAATATATAAATTATTCCCGTGCATTAATGCGAAAAGCCAAATTTCCTCTATCTCTTATACTGTCAATTGCGCAATCTGTCTTCTTACTATTTGAGTCGAGTCCTTTCTTCTTGCTTTCCTTCGCTACCTTGTCTAAATATCCTAATAATAAATTCTGATATGTCTTCTATTTCTCTTAGGATCGCGTCGCTGTACAAGTTAAATAAATCCGACGGGGTATTATAGCATTGGACCGATAGGACGTGTTTTGGAAGTAAATTCATACTTCTAAATGCCGTTACGCGAGTTAAGCAAGCAACCCAATTTGAAGTTCACCCACGCAAAAAAAAAAGAAGAAAAGGATCTAAAATACGAACTTAGACAAAAGGGCTAAAAACAAATGTCGTGTTTCCATTATTTCCCTCGTCGGCTTTTTTTTTTTTTTTTTTTTTGCGGATGGGAGCAGTGTGTCCCTACTTAAACTATTTTCCGTTTTAGTTGATATTTAAGCGTAATTTTACTTACTGACACGAGCAACTGACTTGGAAAATTAGCAAGCTTTTCGGTCATTAGCAGTAAAACATCTGAGAACAAATTGGATGACCTTCTTTCTAACCCAACATGATATATTCATCCTGAAATGAAAAAAAACTAATGAATATTTGCTCTTTTACAAGAATTGCGAAAGTGTTTCTATAATTTCACAATATACGAATATCACTTCATATATTAAGTATTTCATCTGTCTCTCTCGATCTGTTTCCTGTCAAGGTTAATAATGGGTGTAACAAATTTGTCATTGTTACTATATCAGCGATAATGTAGTTATAGGAAAATAATTCCAGTTGTGCATTCTTGCTAAATCTTTACTCTACCAAAGATCCTATGTGTCTGTTTACATCCATTCAAATACTCCTTCTGGAGTCTCCCAGATTCACCCCAGCGGAACTTACCATTTTTCAGTGTGTAATATTCTCTTTCGGGATCACCATCAGCTGCTACGTTGCGCCTTTCTTTCATTCACTACATTATTATCATATGTGTGTGTGTGTGTGTGTGTGTGTGTGCGTGCGTGTGTGCGTGCGTGCGTGCGTGCGTGCGTGTGTGTGTGTGTGTGTGTGTGTGTGAAGTCAAACGGGTTATTTCATGCTAGACGCAATCGTCAGGTCGCAAATGCTGGATTTTTCCTCGGTTATTTATATATATGGTTCAGTGTTGGATTGTGGGTAATCTATTCTGGCAGTTAATTTTGCGTGAGTAGCTTGTTTGTTTATTTATTTTTTACTTGGGTTCATTTATTTTACTTGTTTTTCATTTTCATTTTGTATTATTTATTCTTTTCTTTTTTTGATGTTTTATTAATGTAGTAAAAAATTTGGTGGGGCATTTGCTTAGGTCACTTATTTAACAGTTTCTTTTGATCTGGGAAGATAAATTAAAGTTATTTATTCGTCCAATGTTTAGATTGCCTGCCGTAGTCTATTCTGTTATTTTGGCGGAGGGACAATTTTTCATTTATTTATTTGGATTCATTATTTTGACTTGTTTTTGCTTATTTATGCTTATTTTTTATTTGTTTGAACGGTTATTTTAGCGGGGCGATTTGTCAATTTGTTCATTTATTTCGATTTTATATTTATATTTACATACGCTCTATCTCTGATATTGAGCACTTTATCCCATAAATATAGCACACTTTAAAACTAAATTTCTTCATATATATATATATATGTATATATGTATGTATGTATGTATGTATGTATTGAGGAAGATTGAAGAAACGACAAAAATGCAACAGGGTTCAAGAAGACAGAAGATGGCAATTGATGTTGCATTTAATTTTGTGAAGAATGTAGTTGTCAGGGAAGCAAAAAATCGGAATGTGTGAAAAAATGTTATGGTAGAAGTGGGCGTTGCAATTATCTAGTTAAATAGTAAGACAATGAAACTTATTTGTCAATCTAGTAGCGCGGTTCAATTCATGTAGTCGGTGCAACAGGAAAAAGAGTTCATCCGGGCAGTTGCTATGAAACTATTTGTAGAACAAACAGAGGAAAGCCATATCATGCCAGTAAAAAAAGTGATTGGAGACGTGATGCCGTGTCAGGATCGATTGCAGACCCTGGATTTTGTCAATAATTTCGAGATGCAGAGGAGGGGCAACAGAACAGATATAGCAACAGGATTCAATACACGGACGAACGGTAGATTTATACATTTATAAATATACAAAATGGATTCTGACGATAAACAA